TCTCTCTCTCTCTCTCTCTCTCTCTCTCTCTCTCTCTCTCTCTCTCTTGACTCCCTCACTGTAAATCCATCCAGACATACAAGCACCGGCGACAGCTGGGAAACAGAACTATTGCAATTCTCCAAAGACACTCAATCATGACCACCTCAGACCGTTTCCACACACTTCTAAAAAAATACTTCACCCCCACTTCGACTTCTTTGTTCTATATCACACTCACTCTCTATTATTGTTTCTCTTGCTCACACCCTCCGGCCCCTGTCCTCAAATAACTACTGTAAAAGCAGTCAAGGTTTTATTTCATCATCCAGTTTGTACTCTTATGCTTCTTCAGAGCCAGTAGATTCTCAGTTCTCATGTCACATTACTTTCCCTCATCATTCCCCTTTTATTTTTCCCTGTCTCTTCTCACATCTCTGTGTATCGGAGGATACCGTCTTTCATTGTCTGAGTTTTTTTTTTGCACCGCTCCATTTCCAGCACATGTGGTATCAAACCGACCTACATGGGTGCGATAAAGCAAACAGTCCGTGGTCCCTCCCTGACAGACTAATTTGAACAAATTCTCAAATTGCACCCCAAATTGAAAGCACATTGGGATGCGGGCAGCCATTACTTATAAAAATCTGGATAAGTGACCAACAATGAGGCCAAAATAATGCACGGGCAACTACCCTTGTTACTGCAAGCAGCTGGGTAGCTAGAAAGATGTTCGGATTGTGCCCGCGGTTGCACCTTTGTGGATGTCTGAACGACATTTCAGCGCATGACGTGGCAGGAATGTTTTGTTATGGTATTGCTGTAGGGTGGGGAAATGTGTCCCTGCCCAGTGCCGAGTGTAGGTACAGGGCTTAATGACTCTGAGGAATGTTAATCAGAGGTTCAATAAACAGAACCAAACACACACATGATGTACACAGATGTGTATGAAATGATTGGACCTTGCAGCATCGATTTTTTGGATATGAATGGGGGGTAATATAGGGAAGAATGAATGGGGTTGGAGGAAGACATCACATGACCTGTAATCACTAATGCTTCCAGGGCTTGGCTCAGTATTTCCCTTCCTCTCTCTTTTTCTGTATTTTGGAAGCTCGGCTCAGCTCCAACTCTCGTGAGTGAAGCCAGAGGTCTATTTTCTGGACGGGGTTACTCCTCGTCTATGATTGTGTTTGTTTGTGCTGCGGGGGGAAAAGAGAGAGCAGCTTTAGTTTCCAAATCACCAGCCCTGCAGGGTCTGCATGAAGCCTCAACCCTCCTCCTCCTCCTCTTCCTCCTCCGTCTCAGTCTTCCTGAGACATTCATTTACTAACATGGTTCCTCTTGCCCTTAGGCTCCCAGTGTCAATAATACACACTGCTCGGTTGTCGGAGAGCTGCCCCAAAACAGGTCAGTCTGTCCAGGCATGGGACGGAAGCATACATCTTTTTGATTGTCGGGAACGGATCCAAAGCAATTTCAACCAGCAAGTGGAGAGGATTCCCGAGACATCTTCTCTGTCTCCAAGACACACAAGGTCTAAATCAAAAAACGGGCAGCATTGGGCAGAATCGCGGTGCAGCACGCCTAAGCCGTGGCTAAGTCACGCAGCCAGTGGCCATAATGAAAACTGCTCTGCAGAGTGTGCCCAGTGGCGGTCAGACAGATCCACCCGCTGCAGCGCTGCACAATGAGGCTGTTATACTCATGACAAGCATCTCTCTCTGCCCAGACGCCGCGCACAGAGAAAACTGTTGACACCCACTAAATGCAGTTCCCATTACATCACACGGAGGCCCATCGCAAATTTTTTGGGAGTAATGCTAAACTTAGTTGAGCCATCAGTCACTCCACCCAATGTGGTGTCATGATATTCCTACAGCAGAAGCAGCTCAAATGCAAAGAATTTGAAGATGGGACAAACTGTTCTCTTTATGCACAACAATCGCATTGCTCCTGATCTGCTTATTTTCAAAGTAAACGGGAGACATACCTATTGTCCGAACTAGACATCACTGTGTATTCAAGGCAGCAGCCGTACCAGATGTTACATCTTATATCAAAATGTAATTAGCATACTGCCTCAGAAAATTGGCTTTGTTTCCCCGCCGAAACATATGAAGCAGGATTGCACCGAGGAACTCTTCAAAGGCAAGAGGCTCAAATTTAGTTGCCTCCATTGCAAATTGCAGATCAACTTTCTTTGCTGTGCTGAACACACGGGCCTAGCGTGATTCCTGAGGCAATGCACCTGGGCTTCATCTTTCTGGACCATGTGGAATAAGGCGCAGCAAAGTCAAGTGGGGGATGTAGTCGATGGTTATCTTGAGAAGGGAGAGAAAACCCCTTGGTTTCCACAGCTCTGCTTAATACCGTAGCCATTATGGAGAAATGAGTTTCCAGTAAAGGCAATTTCATTGTGTATTGACGGTAATATGAGTACAGTGTGGTGACAAAAAAAAAAATGTGTCGTGTTGTTTGCTTGGGTTTGGCATTTTTTTCACTTGCACTTCTCATCCAAAAGTAGAGAAAAGTATATGAAAAGAGGCTTGTGTCCTCACTGAAAGTTGATTTTTTCGCTTCTATTCTTTGGCAGAGATGGAAGCCAATGCCGATTTCACCTTCAGCACAGACAGCAGGCTGTAAAACATTGGTGCATTTCACCAAAATGACTATCCTTACACTGTCAAAAAATCTGATTATCTTCAATCATCAATCAAATGTCAAAACAATTTTTGTTGGAGTCCAATATTTGTTCCAATAACCCATCAATTGATTAACATCCATTGTTCCTCTCGATTAACCTTTCTGTTTAAGTTGCACGAAGTGTACTTACTTTCCCTGAGGTAATTGAGATGAGAGAGAAGCACTTCGGCATTGTACATGGTGGTGAGCCGAAGAAAGTCGTCCTTGCCCATCTTGCAGAGCTCTTTGCCGTCTGTGTTCTGAAACATGGCCGTGTCGATCTCTAACAGGCCGTACTCCTTGATGGCCCACTCCAGCCACTGGCGCACATGGTCCTGAGACCACAAGGAGGGGTCTGCAGAAGAGAGGGGAAGTTTATTGACTCCAGAATAACTGTTCCTGGACAGACACCAGGATAGACAGAGTTGGGAGAGCCTCATATCTGACTAAGGTAAAGGCAGGGGCAGCAATGAACAAATTCGAAACAGATTTTTTTATCAATCACAGATCTTCTTCAGGTAGTAAATATTCTTTGTCTTGTTTTAACCACATGAATAGGATTTGCCATATGACTGTTATTCAGATAAATGATCTTTCACAGAAATCTGTTCCTGTGTTTGTTAAAATGTTGAAGTATGTTTTGCATTGAATTTGTGAATATAACTTGACCCCAGTCTGATATACTGCATAGCCTAATCTGGAAACCAAAACTCCAAACATACCACTTGCGGTTAGGGAGTGGCCTCCATGTGGAGCTCCTATTAGGTTAATAGATGAGTGGAAGTTTGTATCAGTTTGGCACAAACATTTGAATAGCCTTTACAATGGAAAATTGACCAAGGCGCCATTCAATTTGCGTGTAGCAACATAATCAACTTAAGTGGTAAAACCTCATTTCTAAAGGCTATAACCCTGAAATTGCACTTGTTACTCCGTGAACTGTGATATTTCACATACTGGATCAAATTGTGAAACTAGTGAAGAAATATATGGGTCTGGCAGACAAACAGACATCTCTACCTGCACGCATTCAGCCGTGCTCCCATGAGTGACCTAAAACATTGGAACAATGCTTTACCTCACAAACCAGCTAAATATAAATGGGACTCTAAAACATTTACAGCACTGGCAAAATTATACCAAAACAGAAGAGTGATTCTGTCTGCAATTGCAGTAGCAACACAAAGAAACAATTAGCACCTGTATAAATACGCAGTGAGAGTTCAGATACAGTGTTTTATAACCCATATTCACCCTTATCCATCTCAGATATGATTTATTTTTATTATATACATGCTTATTGTTATTGCATACCTGCAGGTACAATGACTCTCCGCTCATTGGTGGTCATGTTGGGGGGAGGGGCATTCTTCTCATCCATGTAGTTTCCATAGTTCATCTGAGATGTGTCATTACCCACCACAAGCTTATTGCATTTACCCACACTGCAGTCAACTGGAGACTCCCTGCTACACAAACACACACACACACACACACATACGAGAACATTGTAAAAATATCATCAGCAGATAAATTGGGTGTTGTTGGTTTTCTTTTCCAGCCATTGATTTTGGCATGGGATGGATAAGCCCTAAACTGGCTTGGGCCAAGTATACTGAAGATAAGAAGCAAAAAGTGAATTTTTGTTGTGGTAACTAAATGGCCTGTTGAATGACTAATGGCAACATTTATGGCAGTAGCTGTAGTGATGACCACCGAATGTCGAATATGTCTCATAAAAATGGATACAAACTCTTATCTCACTGAACACAAAGTAATGTAAGACACAGGATGTGGTTGTTATGCCATACCTGGATCCATTCATGTGTTCATATTCTCTCTTGACGTTGACCCTCACTGGCTGGTTGATCCACTCCTGCTGTGGGGGTAAGGGGTTGATTTTGTGGGTCTGGCCGTAGTCCTGTGTGCCAGATGCAGTCATGTCTGTCTTGGGGAGAGGGGCAGCAGCAGCGTACGGAGGCTCAAATAGGGACTGGTCTTCACTCACCACTGATAGCGCCTCCTGTAGGTGGAAGGAACAAATACTTGGTATGTCTTTCTCGACTCTCTTTACAAGTGCAAGTATGTGAGCTTCCAAATAGGCCATATAAAGCCATCCTACCCAATACACACTTAAATTGAGTACTTCAATATTTTGTGATGTACTCTTATTTGCTTTAATGCAAGGTTAGACACTCTTAAGTCTGTCCATTTAGAATAAGGCTACAACTATCTGCTAGTTAGCTTAGCTTAGCATAAAGGCTGGATGCAGGGGGAAACTGTTAGCCATTAAAATATGACAAAATACACCTACCAACACCTCTAAAGCATACTAATTAACCCTTTATAGGTGGTTTTATGTGGTTACATTTTTTGGATATAGGCAAAGTGACTTCACGGTGTCTCTGTTGGTTGTCTGGCATTTCATTAAATGGTTTTAGAGGTTCTTGAAGGCAGTTAGTTTTAGTTTTGGACAGAGCCAGGCTAGCTTCTTCCATCTGGTTCTTTGTGCTAAGCTAGGCTTACCGTGTCCTGACTGTAGTTTATTAACAGACAGATATGAGAGTAGTAGCAATCTTCACATCTAACTCTGAAAGCGATAAGGCGTATTTCCCAAATTTCAAACTGTATCTAGTGGTGAGACATAACCATGTCATAAGAATGATAAGAATAAACTCATGAGCAGATACAACTCAAGTCTTTCATTTGACACCTGTGACGTCACATTTTCAATCTCTTGAGTATTTTTTGTTTACAGCAATTATGAGCAGTTATGGGTCATATCGCAGTCTGGCATCCAAATAGTTTGTGTACACAACCCATGTAGCAATAGCTTCCTGTTGATGTTGATGTTGATGTTAGGGCGACTTCAATCATGCCCACAGTGGAGTGAGAGAGTTGTAAGGCTGGGCTCTACCACGGTGCTGGTTTATTACCACTATCAGTCAATACATACAGTTTTTCTACCATTAATGAACCATTGGTTCAGAACTAAAAACAAAAAATTACTTCACAAAGTCTGTATGGGCTGACAATTCCAAATATTCCAAACCAAATTTCCCAGATTCCTGGTTGTGTAATCATTTCCTCCATGCTCATTCTTGACTTCATTGGACCCAAAAATCCCCTGACATGCCCCGATCTTTCTGTTTGGTCTGAGCGTCTGAGCGTTGGGCTTCCCTCCTTAGCTGAAGACTCAACAGAAGCAAGGGGGGGGGGGGGGGGGGGGGG